TTTGGCAACGTGCAAGAACAGCGGCGAGAGCTGCAGAGAGCGGGGACGCCCGGGGGCTGACACAGCACGTGGCCCAGAGGTGTGCTCAGTAAATACTTGTGAGCAAGTAAGAGAAGGACAGGGAGAAGGTGGATCAGCGCTGGAAAGAAGGCAGCAAGGAATATGACATGGAGGCATGTGTCACCGGGGTGGTGGGGGGGAGTTTTCTGCCAGCCACAGGTACCCCAGGTAGAATCGGCTCCTCTGGCCCCCTCTGCCCATGTCCCTCGCCCCAGTCCAACCTAGGGCGTGTTTGTCCCTGCATCTGCCCACACCCAGCTCCTCCAGGACAAGAGAAGAAGAGCCAGCTGCCATCCTACAAGGAGGAGCACAGCACAGCCACCAACTCCTGACCCTGGGCACCTGTGGCTGTTCCCGCGCCCATTGTGTCACCTTTAGGGACCAAGAGCACAACGCAGATGCTACTGATGGCCTCAGGACACTGCAATGGTTGAAACTGCCTGGCTGAGCTGCTAGCAGCCCCCAGGTTGGGGGTCACGGGGCAGTGCTCAAGAAGCCCAGGAGACAGGCTCCCAAGGCAGCCTGTGGGACATTTCTAACAGTGGAAGGGAAGGGGCTGACCAACAGGTGGAACACCAGGTGTTGATCGCGGAAGAGAAAGGAGGATTCTACTAGCAAAATAGTATCTGGGACAGAGAACTGTACCAGCATCAGAAAACCTGGTTAAAGACCCAACGCTGCCATTTAATCTCTCAGAATCTCAGTTCTCACACATATAAAGCATCCAGCGTAACACAGAAATCATCGCTAATATTTGCTGGCCATTTGCTCTCTGCCGGGCATGCTCTACATGCTCCACATCCATTAATTCATGTAATCCCCACAGGCATGTACTTCCCCATTTTACAAATGAGGAAAATAAGAGACAGAGAAGATAAGTAACATGTCCAAGGTCACACAGCCAATAAACCAGCAAGTAGTTTAGCTCCAGCCCACCTTCAAGATTCAATAGGAAGCTTAACTGTCGTATGAAGGCAAGACCAAGGGTAGAAATGTTTGGTCCTGACTAAGGGCCACGTGGGAACCAGGGGGGTTAATTTTGTGTGTCAACTTGGCTGAGCCATGGTGCCCAGACATTTGGGCAAACTTTATTCTAATATTTTCATAAGGATGCTTTTGAATGAGATTCACATTTAAATTAGTAGACTTTGAACAAAGCAGACTGCCCTCCCTAATGTGGGTGGGCCTCGTCTAATCAGCTGAAGGCCTGAATAGCATAAGACTGACTGCCTGGAGCACCAAAAGTTCTGCCAGCAGATGACCTTTGGACTCAAACTGCAATTATCAGCTCTTCTTGGGTCTCCAGATGGACACCCCCTCCAAAGATGCAGGACGTGCCAGCCTCCAAATCGCATAAGCCAATTCCTTCCAACTAATCAATCTCTCTTTACTTACACACACACACACACACACACACACACACACACACACACACACCCTCTTGGCTCTGTTTCTCTGGTGAAGATTGACTAACAGAAGAATGAAATCCAGCCCTGGCAGAGCTGTCACCTGAAGGAAGGGATGCCCGGAGGGGGTGCCTTTTACTGCTGCTCACACAGTTCTCCATGCACCAGCAGAGATCCCACATGCAGGCATGCAGTAATGACAGGGGTCATCCCAGGCTTTGCTACTCACCATCCACGCCCATCATCCCCTCCCCCAGCCCTGAGGCCTCCATGGAAGCCCCTGCTGCAGTCTCTGTCCAGTCTCTGCACTGCCCCCACTCAGCACCACCACCACCAGGAGCCCCTCACACAGGCCAGACAGTCTCCTGCCTCACCTCCCTGCTTCCACTTCTGCTGGTCCTCATGCCAAGAGCACCTTCTCTCTGCACCCCAACCAAGCTTGATAAATGATGGAGGTTCCTGGGGGAAGAGCTATTTTATCTCTTCCCTGAACTTTTGCTTACACCTTGAGCAAAGCAAGACAACATCACTCTCCACCTGTTCCTGTAGGTTCATAAGAAACAATGAAGTATGCATTCCCCCACCTGATACACAGCGGTTCTCTTCCACGTTCCAGTGGCCGCTCTGGTCAGATGGTCCATCAAGAATGCCGATCTCCTATGACAGCCTTTCTCCCCAGGTACTATGGGAAATTATAAAACAAGTACGAGTCTAGATCCCTACCATGTGGAGCTCAGGGGTAAAAGACTAATGAAACACGTGTCAGAGTGCACAAGCCAGACCCCAATCCCCCAACACCAGTACAAGTGGTGCCCCTAACAAAGGTATTTCTGTGCATCACTCTGGCAGCTGACCTCATTTCCTTCAGTCTCTCATAGAATTTTAGAGCTAGGAAAGAACCTAGCTGCATCCAAAGTTTTTAGAACTGTGCTTTCTTCACTAAATACCAGCTGTTTGGGCAACAAAGAGAGAGAGAAAGAAGGGAAAATGAAGGAAAAGGTGTCTAAACACAGAACTGCAGGCTGTTAGTGACTGCAGGGGGCATCTGAGGAGTCCTAGCCCAGAAGAGAAATGTGGAAGGATGGGTTGGTGGTCAGAACCCTGCCAGGTCCTTCAGCAGGAAGGAAAGAACTCCTGGGGACCAGAGAAGTCAACAGCTTGTTCAGAGTGCAAAGGTGTCAGCCTGGGCTCCTTCCTCTGCGTGAATCATGCCCAGGAGAATAAGGAACCCAAGTCTCAGCCACCTGTCAGGGTTCCCCTCTGCTGAAAAGGGCCAAGCCTTCAGTACCTTTCCCTGACGCTCAAGCTCCGGCGCCATCTGCTGGCCAACGTCAGCACTGCACCTAGACCTACAGTCCCAAGGGCAGTTAGGAGACCAAGGTTGAGACCATTCCTAACCCACTCCAGACCCAGGTGACTTTGGAGACACCAGAAATGATGCCACCTCCTAGAGTTCGGGCTTCCAACTGCTTCCCAGAACGTGTCCTTCAGGACTTAGGCCTAACATTCAAAATAAAAGGGAAAAAGCAAGTTTCTTTCTGGTAATACTAGCTGAGAAACTTCTAAGACACAGACACAAAAAACATTTCTGAAAGATTTCTGCCAGACAGAAGCTCTGTTGTAGAAGACAAAGCACTGGTCTGGTAATCAGAAGATCCAAGGCCTCGTCCTGTCACTCACACGTCCCTCCCTTAGCTCTGTGGTCCCATCCCCACCCCACACATCCCTACGCCAGGACAGTGCCCCTTTATTCGCTCTCCCCTCCACACTGATGGCACCGGCTGCAGTGCAGAGATTATGCACTGCTCCAGAATCACATGTAAATCACAGGGTCCAGAAGAACTGCAAGTTCATGCTCATCTCCCACACCCTGCTGGGGGACCCCTCAGGACCAGCCCCATCTGCCTGGGAGAGGGTAGGGACTGGTGTAAGGACACTAGTGACCCTGTAAGGCCTCTGCTGATGGGAAGGGTAGATACAATGAACCAGCACAGCCAGAACACTCTGGCCACCCCCCTGCACTTCGGTCTGAGATTTAGGGGTAGCTATGTAGTCTTTGAGCTCCAGGTGTCTTCAGAGCACATCCAAGAACTCGAACCCAGACAGCAGATGGGGATACAGGACAGACTTGGCTTCCTTTAACCACGTTCTTGAAACTGGGGACGAAACAAAGCTTTCTACTGAGGTCCCAGGGCAGGTGTAGAGCCCACAACTGGTGGGGTCCACTCGGATATCTTCCTGGTGGGGAGAGCTGCTCCCCAAGAAGTGTCGTGGAAGAGGCGGGAGGAGGAGGGAAGTGCAAAGTGAGTGACTTTCCCCGCCCTCACACCCCCACACCCACCTACCCTGTTCCCACATAGCCCCTTTCCCCTCCCTCCACCCACAGAATGAGAAAGTGTGTCACCAGGGAACAAATGCCATCTTCCCAGGAGGGAGGAGGAGGAGGAAGAGGGGGAGGAAAGACTTCAATTGTGCATCTGTGGGGGCCGGGGTAAGAAAGCAGAGGTTGCCGAGCTTCCCAGCTGTGAAGGACGCCCCCTCAGAACCGTGACCTTGACATTAGCCTGCCCTATTCAGAGGGCTCAAGACAACCTGTGGGGCAGGAGCCTCAGGCCACCATGCTCAGGACCACATGGCCAGGGAGGCCTACAGAAGAGGCCCTGAAGATGCAGACAAAATCTTTTAACCCCATACATCCTTTGGCCAGCTGGGTGGGCCCATCATGACTGCTGACACCCCAAACTTCTCGTCTCACTCTACCCTGGCTTACAGGGGGCCACTGACCCGCTCTTGCTTCCCACTCCAGCCCTCCACAGACAAGCCGGCCTAGAAGGGTTAATCTGCTGCCTTCCCTCCCTTGCATCCGCCCCCACGAGCTGCCACATGCCAGCAATGATGCACTTCACACTGTTATTACAGTGATTTATTTAGTTTTAATTGGGGGGTGAATCTCGTGCTATAGGAAGCAGGAGGCCAACAGCCTTGGCAAGACACAAAGCCATGCACAGGCCTGTGCCATGCCAATCTGGTCCCCTCTGCCTGGGGTATCTCCATCCTAACCTTGCTCCTCCTGGCTTGTGGGCTTGCTCCTGACTCTAGCCCTAAATCGGGTTTACCCTCCACTTAATCTCCACCACCCAAGCTTTTATCCCTCATCTGCAAAATGGGGTTAATGACAGGTAGGTACCTAACACTGCTGTGAGGATCAGGTGAGATAATGCAGGGAACACAGCACTGCCATCCACACACAGCAAACCCTCCATAACTGATAGATATGATTAGGTTGAACCATATGAATCCCATTACATTGCAGGGCAAAAACAATCACACATCAACTATTTCATACGGTTCAACCACCTTTTTCACTGAGGGCCACTGAGGTTCCTTCTCACCCCTTCGATTTCACTGCTGAAAGTTGCCACGAAGTATGTTTCCATTCCAGGGGTGAAGCCCCAGCAGCCAGCAGGGACAGCTCTGCCAGGGCCTTAGAAACATCCCATCCCAGCACCCATCGCTCCCGGCACGGGCAGCTACCTCTTTGCCCAGGTCCTCACGGATGACCCGGCGGACCTCTTGCATGCTGCTCTGTGGAGCCTGGCTGTGCAGCACCTTCAGTGTGCTGGTATACTCCTCAGGCAGCAGGTAGTCCAGAGCGCCCAGGTGCTGGCCCACCTTGATGAAAGTGCCCCGGTTGGCACAGCAGAGCTCACAGAGACGCCTGGCAGAACGGAGGTGCACCTGCAGGGAGATGGGCCAGGAACAGAGAGGTGTGAGTGCACACTGCCCACTGGACATTCTTTCCCTTTCCTGCCCCCACTGGTTGAAGAGCCTGATTCGCTCCGAGAGTACGTACACACACACACACACACACACACACACACACACACACACACACACACACACCCTTCATTCACCTTCTGCCTCAATGCTCTCCTTCGGTCTCAGTACCTAGGGCCAGCAATTCTGACCTCATACTGAGTGAGGCTGGCCTCTTCATAGGGCCCGATGTGCCCATGCTTCTGGTCTTTTCTCCATCAAAACTTACCTGGCCCAGGAACCAGAGCAGTTGTTCAAGGCTTTTAAGCAAATCTAATCTACTGATGATTCATTTGTGGGTACACTGAGTTGATGTGTTTGCCACCCAACCCTCAGACATACCAATAATACTATCTGTTTGGAGGTCTACAATTTCTAAAACATGCTCATACGCATTCTTTCTTTTAATCCTTACGGCAGCTCAGGGAGTCAGGTATTGGTATATTTAAAAATAAGAAACTCAGGGGTGCCTGAGTAGTTCAGCCGGTTAAGCATCTGACTCTTGATTTTGGCTCAGGTTATGATCTCATGAGATTGAGCCCTGAGTTGGGCTCTACGCTGACAGTGTGGAGCTTACTTGAGATTCTCTCTCTCTCTCTTCCCCTCCTCCACTTTTGGGTGCTTGCTCTTTCTCTCTCTCTCTCTCTCTTTCTCAAAAATAAACTTTGGGGCACCTGGGTGGCTCAGTCAGTTAAACGTGCAACTTCGGCTCAGATCATGATCTTGCAAGCCCACATCGGGCTCCGTGCTGACAGCTCAGAACCTGCAGCCTGCTTCTGTTTCTGTGTCTCCCTCTCTCTCCGCCCCTCCCCTGCTCACACTCTGTCTCTTGCTCTCGAAAATAAACTTTAAAAAAATATTAAGAAATAAACAATAAATAAATGATAGAAATAAGAAACTCAGATGTTGTGCTTATACAGAAATAGCTAATGTAGCTAATAAATGTCAAAGGAAAGTCTAGAAAACACACTAAACCTAGGGCTCTTTTAACTCAACAAACTTTAGCAGGGGTCTCCTTTTTTTCTTAAGTTTTTTTTATTTTGAGAGAGAGAGAGAGAGAGTGAGCATGGGAGGGGAGGGGCAGAGAAGAGAGGGAGAAAGAAAATCATAAGCAGGTTCCATGCTGTCAGCACAGAGCCCAACATGGGGCCCAATCTCACAAACCATGAGATCATGACCTGGGCAGAAAGCAAGAGTCAGACATGTAACAGACTAAGCCACCCAGGCAACCCTAGCAGGGGTCTCCTCTTAACTGGAAGAAAAGTTTCACTGGGAAGTGTCAGGTGCATGGAGCAGGCAGCTGGGCAGGTCTCCTAGGACAGGGCAGCCTTCAGCCTGATGCCCGCTGTCTTTCCAGAGCTGGGGGGGTGGCCCCCGTTGGGGACACACTGTGCTATGTGTCCCCAGTCATCACCCCAGCTCAGCTGAAAGTCCTGAAACTGTGAGGTCCTGTCTTCCTGAAGCTACAGCTTCCGAGGCAGGATGGGGCTGTGGGCACACACAGAAGGTAAGGGAGCCCAGTGCCCTGTGGGAACCTCTTCCACCCATGCAATCAACCAAGAGGGAGTAAACATCTACACGGACTTACACTCTCTTGAGTGTTATGGAAGATGCCGACATAATTAAGCACATATTGGAGGCAATAAACCACCTGAGGAGTTAAATAACTTTTGGCAACAATGATGGAACAAACAGTTAAAGATCCTATATAGTTAGTTGCCAAGTGCATCGTACATAACACTGTTACTTTAGAAATTAAGAAGAGAACACCCTTGTCCTAGCAGCCCAGGAGCCCATCTGCCCTGTTCCACCACAGCACAACAGATGCCCCAGACTCCAGGCACTGCGGGGCTGTGCCGAGACCCTTGTGGGCACCCACTACTGGCTCCACTGGACACCTCTACCTCCCACCCTGATGAACCCTTGGGGAACCCTATATACACATGACTCCATCCCCCTACACAGAGTATGCCAGCCTTGATGTGGACAGCTGGTCCAAGCTGGGCCACAGAGTCTTTTTACCCTGCCGGGAGGGCACAGGAAAAAGGAAATTAACCCTAAGGATTAAGAGGAGAGAAAGCTTTTAGATGGATCAAAGGATCATGGGAATGGGGTGGATTCTCTTTAAGAATTTGGAACTGGGGGCGCCTGGGTGGCTCAGTCGGTTGAGCGTCCGACTTCGGCCCAGGTCATAATCTCACAGCTGGTGAGTTCAAGCCCCGCATCAGGCTCTGTGCTGACAGCTCGGAGCCTGGAGCCTGCTTCAGATTCTGTGTCTCCCTCTCTCTCTGCCCCTCCCCTGCTCATGCTCTGTCTCTCTCTGTCTCAAAAATAAATAAAAACATTTAAAAAATTAAAAAAAAAAAAAGAATTTGGAACTGGGGACTCAGCTGGCCAGTGGCACATGGGCAGTAAATCAATGCTATGGCTGGCCAAGGCCATGCTCAAGCCCTGGTTTTGAGGAAGTGAGAAAGAAGGCAAACTGTGGTCAAACATGGAACTGGGCATTTCTTCATGGTACAAAGGTCCAGGCTAGTGTGAACAATCATTCCCCAAATTCCAACCCATAAGAAGAGAGATCAAAATCACTGGCAGAATAAGAGGCAACACATAGGCATCCACAATCCACTAGTCCTAAGACACATTACGGCCGGGGCCCACATCCAACCGGACACTCCTGGCTCGGCTGCCCCGGCACCCGGCCACCCTCTCCCCCAAGGAGGCAGGCTCAGCCCCTACATCAAAGCTGCTCTGGGGTCAAGGCCACATGGAAGCAGAGGACTAGAAGGTGGGGTGAGGCCACATCCCACTTTCCCCTCCCTGCCCAGGAAAGGCATCAACCACTGTGTGTTCACCGGGACTTACAGCAGGCCAGTCCCGTGCCCTCCAGTACATGGGAAGATGTGACGGAGCCATTCGTGCACAGAGAATGACTTGCCACAACAGGATCACACTGAGAACCGCAGGAGCTTAGAGGCAAGAAATGGGAGGACCGGAATTAGAGCAAAGGCTTGGCTCACAGGAGGGCAGTGGGTGTGTGCTGCTCAGAACTATGGCCTCCAGACTCCAAATCCACCCTTCTCCACCCTGCACTGTGATCCTGCAGCTGCATCCTGTCATTTCTCCTTTATCAGATGGTTTGTTATTAGGGGACTCTGGAGGGACACTGAGGCCACAGAAGAGCAAGGAGGCCCCATTACCAGAGCCAGTGTGGCATTTTAGCTCAGCAGCCGGCAGGCCAGTGGCTTGAGGGTGCTCCCTTCAGTGGCCCTCCCAGACCAGACCCGCCTCACTAAATTTTCCCATAACTGGCAGGCCCCTCTTATGGCCCAGCTCAAGCCCACACCCTCCAGCCAATTGTTCTGACCAGCTACCAGAGGGTTCCTATACATTGTAGGAGTGTGGCCCAGAGCTAAATTGCACTGTCACCCAGGAGGCTACTCCCACAGACCCTGCCTTCCACCATGTCTCCTCACCACTGGGCAGACCTCCATCTCAGCCCTGCAGGTGGGAGGCCCTCAGCTGAGTTCTGTCCTTATTCACTACCCTTCAGCCCCAGAGGGAACAGCTGCTTTATATGCTTACTACTTCTGTACCCTTAGAATCTTTTTTCACCCCTCGAGTTAACTACCTTTTACTTTTCCTAATTAATCATCTTTTCTATTAAGTTTTCGCCACTCAACCCTCTTGCACTGTTGGTGGGAATGCAAACTGGTAAAGCCACTGTGGAAAACAGTATGAAGGTTCCTCAAAGTTAAAAATAGAACTACCCTACAATCTAGCAATCATACTAGTAGGTATTTACTCAAAGAATACAAAAACACTAATTCAGAGGGATACATGCACCCTGATGTTTAAAACAGCATTATCTACAATAGCCAGACTATGGAAACAGCCCAAGTGTCCATCAACTAATGAATGTGTAAAGGAGATATGATATACAGATAAATATACATATATACATAAATATACATATATACACACATACACAATGGTGTATATATGTACGTGTATGTATGTATACATATACAGAGAGATAGATATATACATACACACACACACAATAGAATATTACTCAGCCATCAAAAAGAATGAAATCTTGCCATTTGCAATGGCGTGGATGGAACTAGAGTATATTATGCTAAATGAAGTAAGTCAGAGAAGACATACCATATGATTTCATGCACAAGTAGAATTTAAGAAACAAAACAAAGAAGCAAAGGGGGGGAAAGAGAGAGAGAAATCAAGAAACAGACTCTTAACTACAGAAAACAAACTGATGGTTACCAGAGGGGAGATGGGGGAGGGGGTGGGAGATAAGTGAAATAGGTGATGGGGATTAAGGAGTGTACTTGTTGTGATGAGCACTGGGTGCTGTATGGAAGTGTTGAATCACTATATTGTACACCTGAAACTAATATTACACTGTATGTTAACTAATTAGAATTTAAATAAAAACTTCAAAAATAGTCAAAAAATAGGGTGGATTCCACTCTAAACTTTTTAATACAGTGTGTGTTATACAATTTACTTACACAATAATCAATGTGAAATAAAGATATCAGAAATGTAAAAAACTTTTTAAAAAGTCTTCCCCAGAGAGATTACTGGTGTGAATGGTCCCTGGTGGATACACAGGATTAGTCCTTGAAATCAAATTTGAATAAATTAGGATAAAAAGGGCACTTCAGATCAAGAGAGCAATACAGAACTACGTATCTGCATGCATGTATGTGTGTTGTTGAAGACCTAACTTCGTTTTCTTTAGACTGGATTCACATCTGCATTTGTCTCTGCTGCTGGCAGCCCTCAGTAATATTCTAGGGGTGCCTGGATGGCTCAGACACTTAAGAGTCTGACTCTTGATTTTGGCTCATGATCTCACGGTTCAGTTCATGAGATCAAGCCTCGTGTACGGCTCCACACTGACAGCATGGAGCCTGCTTAGGATTCTCTCTCTCCTCTCTCTGCTCCTCCCATGCTCACTTATATGTGCTCGCTCTCTCTCAAAATAAATAAACTTAGAAAAAAAGAAGGAAAGCATCAGCCTACTGCCCCTCACCTGTGGCTTGAACCCAGGATACCTCTTGGCACAAAGTAATGGTCACCTTCAAGACACTGTCTGGGCAATACGGGGAGCCCTCTCTGGTCACGCAAGCCCAGGAAAGCTAGTCAGTCCCCAACTCACAAGCTACTCGGCACACAGCCACGGGGGCAGAGACCATGTGTGTCCCTATACGCTCTGTGTACCTCAGGGCAAGCTGTCCATGTGCCATAAATGTAGATTAATGACAACTATGGGTTATATACTCACAAAACCGCCATCCATGAAGCTGAGTCAGCATCTACTGCAAATGGCACCCACATTTCAACTAAAGAAGCTCCAAAGTCACCTTCAACCAGCTTCTAAATACACACACACACACACACACACACACACACACACACACACACGAAGAACATTGCCACTCACCAAAAACCTACATTCTTTTAAGGCGAAAAGACACAAATGCTGAAGAACAGAGTAGGGCCTCTGATCTCCAGGGTCCCTTTTCAGCTCCAGCTCCTAGGGCTTCACTGTCCTTTGGGATCAGAAGGTGGGTCCCATTCAAAATTTCAAGAAACTACTAGCTTAGTAAAAACCCCTCTTTCAGCATTTACTTCCTTAATCTGATACCTTAAGGGGCAGTACCTGCTGGCAGCAGGGACCATCCACAGGGATCCCATGGTTTCTACCACCCAGGAACCTTTCCCCCAACAAGGAGCGTGCTCAATGAAAAGGCAAAGCTTCTGGAATCTTGGATCTCTGCATTCCCCTGAATCTACTCCTTCATGCTACACATCTTCAAGCATGCACCTACATAGGCAAAGGCAGCAGGAAGGACGACGAAAGTTAGTTTACACTAGTACTGTACAACAGAAATCGCTGCAATGGCAGAAATGTTCTACATCTGCACTGTCCAATAACACAGTGGCCACTAGCAGCTACCAGGGGCTGCTGGCCGCTTGACATGCGGCTAGTGTGACTGAGGAACTGAATTCTCCATTTTTTTTTAATGTTTAGAGAGAGAAAAAGCACAAGCGAGGGAGAGGGGCAGAGGGAGAGAGGGAGGGGGAGAGAGAGAGAGACAGAGAGAGAGAGAGAGAGAGGGAGAGAGGGAGAGGGAGAGAGAACCCCCAGCAGGCTCCACACTCAGCACAAAGACCAATGCAGGGCTAGATCCCATGACCTTGGGATCATGACCTGAGCCAAAAAATCAAGAGTCAGGCGCTCAACCAACCTAGCCACCTAGGCATCCTTAAAGTATTTAAATTTAAATCAGGGCAGCTGGGTGGCTCAGTCATTAGACATCTGACATTGGCTCAGGTCATGATCTCACATTCATGAGTTTAAGCCCCGCTTCAGGTGAGCCCTGCTTCTCTCTCTCTCTCTCTCTCTCTCTCTCTCTCTTTCCCTCTCTGCTCCTCTTGGGATTCTCTCTCTCTGCCCCTTGCTCACTTGCTCCCTCTCACTCATTAATTATTAATTAATTAATTTAAATAATCACATGTAGCTAATGGCTACCATACTGGACAGCTCAGGATTATAAATCAGTAACAACTATAATAAATAATCATTTATTTAGTGCCTTGGTCTACGTACTATTCCCGGCCTACAGTAAATGCTGAAATATACGTGGTTGATACTGTTTTTAAATCTGCCCCACATATCCATAAAATAGATCTTAATATGTGTCTTTAAAGATGACAAAATGATGTCAGAGAGGTTCAGTAACATTCCCAAGGTCCTAGAGTCAGTAAAGGGTGAAATGGTGGTGTGTTCAAGCATGTGCCAGGGGGCAGGCATGAACTGAATTTCTCCACGTGTTCGCACAGTGGGAATGCAAGCATTGTGGGGATGGTCTTCGTGGGCAAGGAGTTCACCATGCAGACCAAGAGGTGGCCACACACCATGACACTAGAATCACCGATGGCAGGCAGTAAAGGTAGTTGCCCAGTAACTCCCAGGTATGACAGCACCTGGCTGGCACCAGGGCGGCCATGGAAGTTGAATCAAGCGTATACATTTAAAAGGCCAATGAAAACTGCAGACGGCCTTGAACACAACAAGACGGGAGTCATAAAACATGATTAATAGCAATGGCTTTGGAATTAAAAACACCTGAGTTTAAATCCTACTTTGGGGGCGCCTGGGTGGCTCAGCCGGTTAAGCGTCCGACTTCAGCTCAGGTCACGATCTCGCGGTCCGTGAGTTCGAGCCCTGCGTCGGGCTCTGGGCTGATGGCCCAGAGCCTGGAGCCTGCTTCCGATTCTGTGTCTCCCTCTCTCTCTGCCCCTCCCCCGTTCATGCTCTGTCTCTCTCTGTCTCAAAAATAAACGTTAAAAAAAAAAATTAAATCCTACTTTGCTACTTACCTGCCCTATAACTTCGGACAAGTTAATTAACTTTGGGGCCTCAGTTTCCTCATCAGTAAAAGGAGGAGAAAAATGGTGACTGTCACTGTGATGGTCATATGAAGCAATTAATAAAAAGGAGTTTTAGTACAGGGCTCAGCACACAGTCATTGCTCAATATATGAATCAAAAAAGATGGTGGGGGGAGTGGAAACCACTATTCCTAGAAAAATGAAATTGAAAATAAAAATAAAAAAGAACACTCCGGGCCCATCCAAACTCCCTATATTTTGTTCAGACCAACAAGTCTAGACCACAATCTAATAGAAACAATAGCTAATTTCATGCTCTGTCATCTAAATGGCAGAGCATCCATACACAAGAAATGCAAACAGCGATACAGCGTTATTCTCAACACTGACTTAACTTTCTCTGCCCCAAGACCCTACTTCCTCTACTACCCTAACACCGACCACCCATCAGCTCACTGACCCAAGTGCTGCCTTAACCAAGCACCTGGTTTCTCTGGCTGGTTGGGGGTGTAGCTGCAGCATGTCCTCACTGCAGAGGCCTGACATTCCCGCTTCTGTCCCTCCCAAAATAACGGCAGGAACAGCTGGCGTGGTCTCCCTGCCCCTCCTCCAACTTCATTTTCACTCCCAGCTCAATAACTTGCCTTATGATTATCTCATTACCAATAACCTTGCTGTAATGAGTTTTAATCTGCCTTATATTAATTAAAAGCATTGTTATTAGCCAGCTTGGTTTAGAGTTTTGAAAGTGAATAGCTAATAAGATCAACTCAGTACTGATTAATTATTGATTGGGAGGGAGGGAACAAAGGCCCAAAGAGGGCAATTCTTGACTCATGTCTAAACACCCAAGAGCAGGGGCTTGGGCCTCCAAACTCAGCAGGAAGGTACCAAAGTCAAAGCCTTTGAATCAATAAGGCTCCTCATCAGAACTGGGCAGTATCTTTCTGTGCCTATAGCCTTCTCACAGCCATCGTGAACATTCCTAAAGCCCACCGGACTTTCTGCAAGAAGTGTGGCAAGCACCAGCCCCACAAAGTGACACAGTACAAGAAAGGCAAAGATTCTCTTTATGCCCAGGGACAGCGGTGTTATGACAGGAAGCAGAATGGCTATGGTGGGCAGACTAAGCCGATTTTCCAGAAAAAGGCTGAAACTACAAAGAAGATTGTGCTGAGGCTTGAATGTGTTGAGCCCAACTGCAGATTTAAGAGAATGCTGGCTATTAAGAGATGCAAGCATTTTGAACTGGGAGGAGATAAGAAGAGAAAGGGCCAAGTGATCTAGTTTCTAACTTCATATTTTGTTACATTATGAAGACAATAAAATCTTGAGGTTATGTTCAAAAAAAAAAAAAGAAATGGGCAGTATCTTTAGTGGGGTTGACTATACGTGTTTGTGACACAAAGAGGAAAGAGACAGGCACACAGACATGCCCCATCAACACAGGAAAAAAGAGAGAGATCATGAAAGAGTAAGTAAAAGAGAGACCCCAAAACAAAACAAAGATTTTTGATTAATTCTTCTAGTCAAAAATTCAAGACCCAAAGAAAACTATTATAATAAAATGTAAACAGTAGGGGCACCTGGGTGGCTCAGTCAGTTAAGCCTCCGACTTCGGCTCAGGTCATGATCTCACGGCTCAGGTCATGATCTCACAGCTCATGGGTTCGAGCCCCGCGTCGGGCTCTGTGCTGACAGCTCAGAGCCTGGAGCCTGTTTTGGACTCTGTGTCTCCCTCTTTTTCTTCCCCTCCCCTGCTCACACTCTTTCTCTCTCTCTCTCAAAAATAAATAAACATAAAAAAATTTTTAAAAATAAAAAATAAAATGTAAACAGTAGTATCTCTAGGCTGTGAGATTACAAAAGTATTTTTCTTCTTCATAGGTTTTTCTGTATTTTCCAAATTTCTTATAACTCCTATGTATTACATCCATAATGGGGAAGAATTTTTTTTTAATCATCCCCCCTTCAACATCTTCTACAAATATAAAAGTCCAGCTGATTTTTTATTCAGATTTACAAAACAATGGCTGTTAAGGCATGGGATATCAGGCAGCGAAGGACAGTGATTCCTGAGCAATGGGAAACAAACAAGGTGAACTCTACGATTGTCCCAGTTCACTGCATTAAAAGTTTACAGGCCCAGCATCAGGAAAGGGAACCCAAGAGGTGCCCAGAGAACTCCCTAAGTTGAGGAGGTGGAGCTGAGAGTTCAGGAAGGCCAAAGCAACTAGGGTTCACAGGACAGAGTCCTGGGGAGGAGAGAGCTATACAAAGAAGGAGCCCTAAAGATGTGTGGAGGGCCATCAAAATCCTCGAGAAGAAAGCAGGCAAAAACCTCTTTGACCTTGGCCACAGCAACTTCTTACTCAACACATCTCTGGAGGCCAGGGAAACAAAAGCAAAAATGAACTATTGGGACCTCATCAAAATAAAAAGCTTCTGCACAGTGAAGGAAACAATCAGCAAAACTAAAAGGCAACCGATGGAATGGGAGAAAATATTTGCAAATGACGTATAAGATAAAGGGTTAGTATCCAAAATCTATAAAGAACTTATCAAACTCAACAACCAAAAAATAAATAACCCAGTAAAGAAATGGGCAAAAGACATGAATAGACACTTCTCCAAAGAAGACATTCAGATGGCGAACCGACACATGAAAAAATGCTCAGCATCACTCATCATTCAGGAAATACAAATCAAAACTACAATGAGATACCACCTCACGCCTGTCAGAATGGCTAACATTAACAATTCAGGCAACAACAGATGTTGACAAGGATGCAGAGAAAGAGGATCTCTTTTGCACTGCTGCTGGGAATGCAAACTGGTGCAGCTACTCTGGAAAACAATATGGAGGTTCCTCAAAAAATTTAAAATAGAACTACCCTAAGACACAGCAATTGCACTACTAGGAATTTATCCAAGGGATACAGGTATG